CCGGGATTCGAACCCGGGACCCTTCAGTCCGCAGGCCGACGCTCTATCCACTGAGCAACACCAGCTACGGCAACATTGCTCACATTTATTTAAAAAAGAATTTTGATTGATTTTTAGAGAGAGAGAGAGAGAGAGAGAGAAACATTGATGTGAGAGAGATACAGGCTGAAATATTTTCATTTATTGATTTGAAAGAGAGAGGGAGATAGAAACATCCATGATGAGAGAGAGAAATATTGATCGGCCGCCTCCCGCACGCCCCCGACTGGGGATGGAGCCCGCAACCCCGGGCAGGTGCCCCTTGACTAGAATCGAACCCGGGACCCTTCAGCCCCCAGGCCGATGCTCTATCCACTGAGCCAAACCGGTCAGGGCTCTGGGACCATTCTTAACTACAGTTTGTACTTCTCAGTCCCTTCACTTTTCCACACAGTCCCCCACCCCCTTAGGTGGCAATCGGCAGTCTGTTCTCTGTGTCTATGAGCCTGTTTCTGTGAAGTGTGTTCGTTTATTGTTTCTTAGATTCCACATAGAACTGAACCTGTAGATTTTCTTAACCATATGTCCAATCCAACTTTTTTCATTTATCGAATGATCTTGTAATTCATTGTACTGTCCACTTTTATGTAAATGATAGGTTAAGGTGCACTTGTTCTTAAAAGTTGTCTTACGAAGTTTATTGGACTTATAAGAATAAAAAACAATTAGAAGTTAAATACATTGGAAATTTTTCATCTTATTAATAAGATTTCTAAGATGAAATGTACATAGTATTATGTAATTATAATATTCTCTAATTCTACTTTTTATTTCCTTTCCAAATATTGATCCAAGAGTATTATTGTTGAGGAAATTCTTAGGTATTTTCAGGGTGTGAACCGCGAGTTCACGCTGACTTCACATGTGTCAGTGTGTGATGCCTGCACAATCGCACAGGGAGGTTCTGTACGTGCATATGGGCCTTGAAGATTAATGCTGACTTATCCTTAAGGTGTGTTTGTTCAGATTAATGGGGAAACTACTAAAGTGGATATATTTTACTTTAGGGTTGTCCTGTTCTTGTTTAACTATAAAATGTTCCATTAGCCCTAGCTGGTTTGGCTCAGTGGATGGAGCGTTGGCCTGTGGACTGAAGGGTCCCGAGTTCGATTCCGGTCAAGGGCATGTACCTTGGCTGTGGGCACATCCCCAGTGGGGAGTGTGCAGGAGGCAGCTGATCGATGTTTCTCTCTCATCGATGTTTCTGACTCTCTATCCCTCTCCTCTCCTCTCTGTGAAAAATCAATAAAATATATATTTTTTAAAATGTTCCATTAGTTTTGAAGAAGCTAATCCTAAAGAAAACAAACACTTCCTGGGCTGTGGGGTGTCACTCAGCAAATGAGAGGTTTATCTCTTATTTGATCACTTACCCCTTTTCAGTAGACAGCCCCCTGCTGGCCGAGCCACTTCCTGTAGGTGAAAGGGCCTTGGAAGCCATTGCAGCAGAAGCCCTTGGGGCAGCAGGAAGCTGTGGGCTGGCAGACAGGATGGATGAGCCGGTGGTGCCTGAGCAGCCCAGGCTGCCTTCTCCGCGCGAGGCTCCTGTGGGAGCACTTGCACGCTGCGTGGTCGGCTGGTGCCGAGCGAAGCCCACTTGTGAATCCCGACTCTCCTCTCACTTCCTCCCGCGCAGTAACCAGTGTTGTGCCGTCTTACGTGCGTGTGGCCCCTCGGGCGTGTTCATGGTTTTTTTGTTAATCCTCACCCGAGGATATTTTCCCATGTGTGCGTGTGGCCCCTCGGGCGTGTTCATGGTTTTTTTTGTTAATCCTCACCCGAGGATATTTTCCCATGACCTTTTAGAGAGCGTGGAAAGGAGGTGTGGGGAGATAGGGAGGGAGAGATCCACTGACCTCCCCCCGCCGGGGCCAGGGATCAAACCCGAAACCCAGGTACAGCTCCCAACTGGAATCAAACCCGAGACCCTTCGGTGCGCGGCCGACGCTCCAACCACTGAGCAACACAGGCCAGGCCCTGGAACATTTCTTTCGTATTTAAATAGGTGATACTGTGGAATGCACTCCAGTTTTTTCGTGTCTAAAAGGAAGCATGCATCGCAGTTTTCAGAGTGAGCTGTTTTTCTCTCTTGTTAGGAGCAGCGTCTACATTTTCTAAAGCAGCAGGAGCGCCATCAGCAGCAGTCTATTTCTGAAAACGAAAAGCTTCAGAAACTGAAAGAGCGAGTTGAAGCCCAGGAAAACAAGCTGAAGAAGATCCGTGCCATGCGGGGGCAGGTGGACTACAGCAAGATCATGAACGGCAATCTGTGTATGTCCCTCCGCTTGCTCCCACGCTCACGGGCCGGGAGGCAAAACACAGTCGGGTTTCTGCACACTGTCGGTCACGCCTGAGCCGGAGCTGGTGTGGAGAGTGCACTGCTCGCCGAGGGGCAGAGGGTGGGTGGGCCGGTCTAGGTGGTCTGGGGTCTCCCCGCCCAGCCGCGCAGCACTGGCCCAGCTCCTCAGGGGGCCTGTCATCATTAAGCAGCTGAAGTCTCACCTGCGTCTAACGACAGACACACAAATGCGCGCTTTTTGTTTTTGTCGGACGGGTCTTTGTTACCCTGTTCATCCAGCGCGTGCCTGCTCTGTGTTCCGTGGTGACAGAGCAGACGGCGATGGCCTGCCTCACGGAGCCGGGTCTGCTGGTGCCTTGAGATTCCCAGGTGGCTGTGGGACTCACTGCCCATCAGAGAGTATCCACTCGTGAGGGAAAATACTGTTTGCCATGCGAGCAAGTCACGCGTGTCCCGAGGGCTGCTTGCTGGAATGTATCGTGGGTTGTGGTGTCACAGTCTCCTCCCTGGGGTCTGGCCCTCGGTGATGCTGGAGTTGAGTTAAATGTATAGACAGGAAGGAAACTCGCCAAACAGAAATAACACCACCCCAGGAAAGGAGACTCAGCTGAGTGATGTTTTCTTTCTTGTGGGAATTACAGCTGCCGAGATAGAGAGGTTCAGTGCCATGTTCCAGGAGAAGAAGCAGGAGGTGCAGACGGCCATTCTGCGCGTCGACCAGCTCAGCCAGCAGCTGGAGGACCTCAAGAAGGGGAAGCTGAACGGGCTGCAGCCTTACACCGGCAAGCTGACGGGCCCGGCCGCCATGGAGCTGAAAAGGCTGTACCAGGAGCTGCAGGTAACGGGGGTCCGGATGGGTTTAGTGTCGCGTCCTGATCTCCAGGTTTTCTTCTGTGGCTGGAGACCTCAGCTGCTGAGGACACACTGATGGGCTCTAACTTGATAGAGGCAGGAAATGTAGGTTTTTAGTATCTTCACAGAGTTCTGCATCTACCACCACAGTAAAGTATAGAACATTTCCATCAGAAGCCCCACCCCCTCAGCCATCCCTCAGAAGCCACACACACACACACACAAACACACACACACACACACACACCCCGGCCCTAAGCAGTCAGGAACCTCCTCTCCGTCTCTGTAGCTCCGCCTATGCTGGACACTTCACATATACAGGTTCGTGCAGTGTGTCATGTGTGGTTCTTTGTGACTGGCTTCTGCCCGCGTTTTCAGTGCAGAATTGAACTGGCAGTACAATGAACTAGTAAAGAATTAAGCTTAGGTGATCTTTAAGGTGTCTGTGTAAACTGTTCTGATGAGATTCTTAGATGCCTGCTGTTCAATCCTTGACTCAATCAGCATGAGCTGCTGTAACAAAATACTGTAGACGAGGAGGGTTACCTAGACCCTGAGGTTTCACAGTTCCGGAGGCCAAACTCCAAGATCAGGTGCCGGCAGACACAGTTCATGGAGGGTCTGCTTCGGCTTGAGGACGGCCACCTTCTCACTGTGCCCTCACGGCTCTGGTCTCTTCCTCTTCTTTTAAGGACACTTACAAGAACCCCATCACGGGTCCCATTCTCACCACCACTGCTAAGCCAGATCCCCTCCCAGAGGCCCCACCTTTAAAGACCCCTGAGGCTGAGGGCTTCAGTACGGAAATTCTGGGAGAACACAGACATTCAGTTCATAGGAATCCACAAGATTCCCATTTCTCAGAAGTTGTCATCAGCAGGTGATGTTTCAAGCCAGAAGCAAGTTTTGCAATTCTATTAGTACTCGGTAGAAAAAGTATTATATCATTTTATGCAATGAGAATATTTAATTAGAGTAAATTAAATATCACGTTTGTTGCTGTTAAGTTCTCTAACATAAATGCATACAAATAAAATATAAAATTTTATGGCTTTCAACATTTTGTTGTTATTAACCCTCACCAGAGGATATTTTTTCCATTGCTTTTCAGAGAGAATAGGAGGAAGGGGGAGAGAGAGAAAGAAAGAGAGAGGGCGAGGGAGAGAAACATCTATGTGAGAGAGATACATCGATTGGTTGTCTCCTGCACATGCCTCAACCGGGGCCGGGGATTGAGCCTGCAGCCCAGGTATATGCCCTTGACCGGGGATAGAATCCACAACCCTTCAGTCTGCAGGCTGGTGCTCTAACCGCTGAGAAACACCAGCCAGGGCTATTTCTAATTTTTTTTTACAGCAACCTATATTAAGAAGCATGTTCCCCATAACCAATGGACACAGGCAGTAGAGGGGCAAGGGCATGTGCTAGGGGGCAGAGCAGCTGGGGAGAGGTCAAGGCGGGGAAAGGAGACATATGTAATACTTTCAACAGTAAAGAATTTAAATTAAAAAAATAGCGTGCTCCCTGTCCAGTGCATGCATAGGGCATGTGCTAGTACACGTGTACGAGCATGCGTACGGCGTGTGCTAGTACACATGTGCATCTGGAGCTGAGTGTGACAGGACTCACGTTCTCTGTGTGTCTCTGTCAGTTCTCTATAGTGCTGGCTGCAACCCACTGGAACGATAGAACATGGTCGGGCAATTTGGGCCATCCTTTGTGAATTCCCCGCTGCCTCTGCAGTGAGGGCCTCCTTAAGTGGCCTGTGGGGGGTGGAGAAGACACCTCTCCTTAGTGCCCTAGAGGAGTGTTCAGGGCACTTGTCACTAAATGCCATCCCCAAGGACGGAGGTATGGTCCCCACAGTCATTACTGGTGCCAGTCATTCCGTTTGCTTCAAAGAGGACACATGGTTGCAGATATTTGCTCTTTTTTGGTTCATAAGAGATCTGCTGGCTCCACCTGTGCTGTACCTGTGAACACTTGTGCACAAGCAGCAGTGCGCTTATGTAAATGCACATCAGGACTCAGCGACTTCATCTTTTCTTACCCTCCCTGGCAAGGATAGTTTGGCCGTTTAATGCAAATCATACAAGTTGTATTTTCTATGTTGCAGATTCGTAACCAGCTTAACCAGGAACAGAATTCAAAACTGCAGCAGCAGAAGGACCTCTTAAATAAGCGCAACATGGAGGTGGCCATGATGGACAAGCGCATCGGCGAGCTGCGCGAGCGTCTGTACGGGAAGAAAATCCAGGCACGTGGAACAGCAAGTGTGTCCCCCAGGGGAGAGGGGCCTGGGAGCAGTCCTGGTGCGTACGTAGCTCCCAGATCCTAGGTTACCAGAGAGGGCCACTCACAGGCCTATGGGCCGAGGCCCCCCCTGACGTCTCTCCCTTCCTGGACGCTCATCCCTCAGGTTGGTGGGGCTGCTCAGTACGAGGTAGTGAGTGAGCTTCACCGAGGAGATGCTGACTCCTTTCTTCCCGGTTGCAGCTGAGCCGTGTGAATGGCGCGTCGTCGCCACAGTCACCCCTGAGCACGCCTGGCAGGGTGGCTGCCGTAGGACCTTATATCCAGGTTCCCAGCGCCGGCAGCTGCTCAGCCCCGGGGGACCCCATAAAGCCCCAGTCTCTCACTGTTGCTTCAGGAGCTGCCCATGGGAGGCCCAAACCCGGTAAGTGGCCAGCCCTCTTCCTGGGGAGCGTGAGCAGGAATCGGGGCCATGGAGCGGCGTCCTCCGAGGGGCCCCGCGTGTTCCTTCCGTCTCCCCCGAGGCACCACATCCTCCAGGGCAGCTTTGGGAGCGGTGTGCTGCCACGGTGACCATCCCATAGACAGCACTGTGACTGCTCTCCCCTCCCCCCACTCCGCGTGCCTTAGTCAATCAAAAAGTCCACAGACCACCACTTTGGCCCCTGGCCCACTGAGGCGTGCAGGGACCAGCCGCGGGCCCCAGCACCGTGTGGTGTGTGGCCACCCAGGCAGGCTCTCCCTAGAGACGCCGCCCCCTTCCTCAGAGGAGGGTTGGCTGGTTCTCAGCAGATGCACGAGAGAGCCGGGGCTCCTTTGCAGGAGGACTTGTTATGGCTGGGGGGACACGGGCCCCATAGCTCCCGCCATGTTGGCAGGTCCCCACACTGCAGCAGCCCTGCACCGACGACCACAGCCCTGCGACTGGCCTGCCGGGCCTGTGGGGGGGCCCTTGGAGGCTGTGGTAGACTTGGGGCGTTTTCTGTTTGCTGACTTCCTGTTCTCGTGCCGGCACCTGCTCTGTAGCCACACCTCTGCTGCTCCCGTCGGGCGGGGGCGTCCCCGGCCCTCAGATTCGGCCGACCCTCAGCAGCGTGCAGGCTCTGTGGTCGGCGTGGCCCCTAATGGCACCTCCTTTGATAAGCTGCTGTTTATAGTCCAACCCCCCCCGTGGTGGGAGCAGATATTCGTCTGGTTCCAATGACAATAATTAGCCCCACCAGCCGCTTCTCTGCCGCCTTCCTCGTCACCCCTTCCTGAGCTGGGCCCGTCTCCACGTTCCTGTTCTCTGGGTCCGTGCAGGGCCCCCCAGGGTTTCAAAAGACACCTTGCAGGGCCCGAGAATGCCCTTCAGAAGCTCAGAACCAGCCTGGGTCTCTCAGCTGTGCTGTGAGGGGACCACCCGAGACACCTGCGTCACCCACACGGGGCAGAACCTGGGCCCAGCTGTGGATCTGGGGAAAGAAAGCTCTTCGGTGGGGACGCTGACCGTGCTGTGGCTCTTCTGGTTCCGTGCCCCACAGATGGCCATGGTAGACCCAGAGTGACCCGCTCGTGGACAGTGTCCGACCTGGACATCGGGCCCGACTGCAGCTCCACACGGCAAGCTGCAGACTCCCTGACAGACCGTATGTCAGTGGGCAGGCCTGGGGGGAGCTCTGTCCCTCCTGCTGCTCAGGCAACAGCCACTCTGTTTTCCAAACTGAGAAAGGCCTGGGCACCCGTCTAGACTTGAGAGAGATGCCACCTGAACGTAGTCTGCCCCTCCCTTCAGCCAGGTGCCCGGTGGGGCCGGGCCACGCACCCGGGTCCCGCTCGGGGAGGCTGAGCGATGCTGGCACAGGAGGGTGTTCTGGTTTTCTTTTACCAAATGAAGAGGATTTCCTGAGTTCACGGGGAGGTGTTTAGCTTTATCTCCCTTCATACTTGAAGGTGATTGTCCCTTTATAATAAAATGAAGTGATCTTCCTTCTATACCTTCTGCCTTATCCCCAGAAAGAAAATTTCTCTCTTCATCCCTCCTTCACCTTTCTGTGACTGGTTGGCCACATTCCTGGTGACCTTGAGAGAGGTCACGGGAAGTCCGAGCGCTCGGCCTGAGCGTCTGCAGTGCACTCTTTCCCATCAGCCTGAGCTTTCACGTTGGGCCTCCCCAGGGGGTGAACCCCGCCTCCCCTGGGGAAGAAAGAAAAGCACCCCAGCCCGGAATAGGCTGACAGGCCACACGGAGCGAGGTGACCTTTGGCCTTGGACTGCTCAGCAGGGCCCTGCAGCTTGGCTGAGCCGTGTGGAGCCTGCTGCCTGGAGCTGGGGTAATGTTAGCAGTGCGATGCAGGGGCAGCAGTGCTGCCACAGGGGTGGACGCGGCTCTGGAGCAAGCGGGGCAGGGCCCAGCCCGGCTCAGAGCTCTGCCCGTCCTGCACGCGCCGGACCTCTGGTCGTGCCCAGAGCAGGTGCGAGCCGGCCTTCCCGTCCGGGTTGCAGGCTTTGGCTCCGCACCGTGTGGCGAGGAAGAGTGAGTTCCCTCTGCCCCTCAGTCGTGTCCACCTGCCGCGCTGGCTGGAGGGACGAGGATGTGCTGTTCTGCCAGGGCCCGGACAGTCCCCGGGATTTCCTCCCGTCCCATGTGGCTGAGGCTGGGTGTCGGCACGTCCGTCAGCCCGTGCCCGCTGCGGCTACAGCCTGGCCTGCCGATGTGAGTGAGCGGGTGCCCTTTTTCAGTTTGGAAAACGTTCTGTAAAAACGTAGCTTCTGGGTGCTTTTCTGAAAACGCGGGCTTGACTGGCTTTCTGACCACGGCTGTGGGGCGCAGCCTGCCTCCGTGATCACGCCTCGCTGCAGAGCAGGGGTGGGGAACGTCGGCCCGCGGGCTGTGTAACGCCCGCGAAATCGTTGGGTCTGGCCCTGCCAAGGCATCAGGGGTGAGTTAATTCAATGTTTGACCAAATAGAGCAGCCTCATTTTTAAGTTGATAATTTTGTATGGACCACGAATGATGTTATAAATATCCAAATGGCCTTTGGCAGAAAAAAGGTTCCCCACCCCTGCTTTAGATGATAGAAATTTCTAATAGATCAGAGTTGAATTTTTCTTTTAACACTGAGTGGTGCAGATCAAGCCTGTTATGGAGTCAAAGGAGAGTTCTTTATTGTATGTAACTGTATCTGTAAGCAGTGTTTGAACAGTAAGGGCCCGTGCTTGCTTTGCTCGTTAGTGTTGATGTAAGGTTTGAGCTGTGCTTGAATGAGGGCTGACTGTCTCTGCAGACCTCTGTCCCTGGCTGGGTCGTTGCTGGAGCCACGCAGCGCTGGGGGGCCGGGCCCGCCGAGGCTGCCCTGATCCCACCGCGCACTCGCGAGCTGGTGTGCGGGGAGGGGTCAGCCCTGCGGTGCCGCTCCATCAGAATGATGTTCCAAAAAGTGACTTTCTTTTCTGATGGGGCTACTCTTATGCTAACTCACCTAATTTAAAGACAAACTTAAGTTCTATGTTCTTTTCAAGCTAATGATGGAAACTGGCCAACACTAAAACAAAATATGAGCTCTGCGGTGAAACCAACACAGATGGCCCCTGTGGACTGGAAGGACCCGAGCGTGGAGGGGCCGCTCAGGCAGGGCCCCGTCTCCAGCCAGCCTGCGCCCTTGTCAGCTCTGGGAGCCCCGGAGAAGCTGGTAGGCCCCTTGTCATGATCCCTGGGACACAGATGAGCTCCTAACCCTGTCATGTTTGGCCCTTGTCTTCGAGGGTAGAAGGTGTCATGAGGCAAATTATTCTTACTAGCGTCCAAACGACACCCAGTCTGAAGGAGTCCGTGGCCCTACGCAGTGAGCACGTCAGGCCTTAGGGTGGTTCTGTCGCAGGCGGGTGACAGCCCGCTGTGCCCGATGCCCGGCGCCCTGTGCCGGCCACAGCCGACTTGAAGGATTACAAGTCCTACTTTGTCTCCTCATGTGACTGTGGATGGGAATCTGCTTAACTTTTCAAAGGATGACTGTGTTTTCTTCACGTTTAAATTTAGGGCATCGAGATGGGTAAAATGCCACCCCCCGTCCCTGGTGTCGGCAAGCAGCTGCCGCCGAGCTACGGCACACACCCAAGTCCTGCGCCCGTGGCTCCAGGGCCCACAAACTCCCTGGAAAGGAGGAAGGAGGGCAGCTTGCCCAGGCCCAGCGCAGGCCTGGCCGGTCGGCAGAAGCCCGGCCCTCTGCCCTCCATGGGCAGCACCCACCCGCCGGGCTCCTCCCAGCAGATCCAGCAGCGGATTTCTGTGCCCCCGAGCCCCACGTACCCGCCCGCAGGGCCGCCTGCGTTTCCCACTGGAGACGGCAAACCCGAGCTCCCACTGACTGTGGCCATCAGGCCCTTCCTGGCAGACAAAGGATCCAGGCCACAGTCCCCCAGGAAAGGACCCCAGACAGTGAATTCAAGTTCCATATACTCCATGTACCTCCAGCAAGCCACGCCCCCCAAGAATTACCAGCCCGCAGCGCATGGCGCCTCGAATAAGTCGGTCAAAGCAGGTACAGTAGCTTGTGCTCTCCCTCCTGGGGCCAGGGAGCTGTGCTCTCCTCTAGGAACACGCCAGCCCATAGCCTCACATTCGGGCCACACGCTACTTAGGATCAAACTAGAGCCTTACCTCTCACACGCCTTCCGAGTCGCGTGAGGTGGAGTAAAGGACGACACGCAGGTGGATGGTCACAGCTGACTTCCTGTCGGAGCGCCCACCCCCTGGGAACTCCAGCTGCGGGAAGGGTGTGATTGCGCGTGTGCTCCCTCTCCTGTGTCCTGGTACCTTTGCAGCTCTCCCGGGAGCCAGGGTGGGGCTCTGCCTAGACCTCATCTCCACCTCCTGCCGTCCCGAGCCAGGCCCTGGGGCAGCAGCTGGGTGGCGAGGGGTCTTCTGCTTTGGGCATTCCTCCCCCCCCACCCCCCGCCCCAAAAGCCGCAGGGGAGAACAGCCTGATTCGGTGAGGGGACGTGGCCCTGGGGGCGAGGTGTTGGAGGGAGCAGGTTGGCGAACAGGGCCTAGTTCCACACCTCCCACGGTCAGTGGGTTCTGACTTGGGTGGTAGGGTCCTGCCCGTTGGGCTTTCTTAGATGTTCTTGGGCGTGAGCTGCAAGCTTCCAGACTCACAGTTGAGGGACTCCTGGGTGCCTGGCCACCCTGTGCCCAGCACCTCCTGAGGCAGACATTGCACTGACCAGGGGCTGGAGCGGTCGAGACCCTTCCCTAGAGCTCCAGGCGGCCTCCCTGTCAGCCCGGCCGGGGCTTCCTGCTGTGCCCCTAAGTCCGAGGCTCAGCTCCTTGGCCAGAAGACAGGGACAGCCTGTTTGGGTGGGAAGCCAGGTCCATGGCCATTTTAAATGCTCGTTTGGAAAAGCCCCCATTCTGGGATCCCAAAGGCAAAAGCAGAAGTTAGATGCTCCACGTTCCAGAGTGTCGGTGAGGTTCTTTGAGCAGAGGACACGCTTGGGGCTTAAGTTGGGGCTCACCGCGTGGCCAGTGTAGCTCGTTGGCTGGAGCGTCGTCCCGGGCACTGAAGGGCCGTGGGTCTGATTCCAGGTCGGGGTGCGTACCCGGTTGTAGGTTCAGACAGGGTTGGGGGGCATGTAGGACGCAGCCAGTCAATGTTTCTCTCCATCTCCCTTCCTTTCTCTCTAAAATTAATAAAAAATGTGTTCTCTGGTGAGGATTAAAATATAATAATAATAAATTTATTTTAAAATTAGGGTGCAACAACCAGGCCTGCCTCTGGTGTAAGCAGAGGTGTGTAGTGGCGGGCCCGGGTGCAGGGTGCTGAGGGTCCCCGTCCTGTCTCCTCAGTGTACGGGAAGCCCGTCCTGCCATCGGGCTCGGGCTCAACGTCCCCGTCGCCATTGCCGTTTCTTCACGGGCCGCTGGCCACCAGCACCTCGCAGCCCACGCCCCCTGCAGAGAGTGCCGAGCGGGAGCCCGAGCAGGACAGCCCGGCCCCGCCCGCGGAGGCCACGGGCGCCATGGAGAGCCTGCCGCGGCCGCTCAGCCCCACCAAGCTCACGCCCATCGTGCACTCCCCGCTGCGCTACCAGAGCGACGCGGACCTGGAGGCCCTGCGCCGGAAGCTGGCCAACGCGCCGCGGCCGCTGAAGAAGCGCAGCTCCATCACGGAGCCCGAGGGCCCGGGCGGGCCCAACATCCAGAAGCTGCTCTACCAGCGCTTCAACACCCTGGCCGGCGGCATGGAGGGCACCCCGTTCTACCAGCCCAGCCCCTCGCAGGGCCTCACGGGCACCCTGGCCGACATGGACAATGGGAACACCAATGCCAACGGGAACCTGGGGGAGGCCAGCCCTGCCCAGCCCACAGCCCCGCTGCCCGCCGAGCCCGCTCCTGCCTCAGACGCCAACGACAACGAGCTCCCTTCCCCTGAGCCCGAGGGGCTCCTCCGTCTCCAGACCACCCCCCAGGCCGTGGAGCCTGCGGAGGACAACAACAACAACGTGGCCACGGCCCTGTCCACGGAGCAGGTCCCGAGCCCTGGGCCCGAGGCCCCCTCTCCGGGGGAAGAGCCCGTTTCCCCATCACGTCCCCCCGGCGC